GATCTTTATCATCAAAGTTATTCAATTTTCAAAATAAAACACAAGAATGACAATTAGCTTTGATAAACCTGAGGAGTAAACCGAAAATGAACAATATTTTTCTGCATATATGAAGAAACTTTAAAAAAAACGCTGATCTAATTACTACACGATAAAAACAATCAGATAAACAAATAATAATCATCCCGCAAATTGATAGAACACTATGGGAAGGCCATATGGGTGCTAAGTACAGAAAATTAAACAAAATCAGAATCAATGTTGATGCATTGATCCCTTTGAGTGCTTCAATTTGAGTAGCTTGGTTTACATAGATACGAGTCTCCTAAAAACATTCGTATTTACAAGGTGTGTATATTATCCTCAAACCATCATTAAGCTTCCAAGTTAATGGTTAAGTAGGCCAAGGAATTGTTGATTCTTCTGCAATCAGAGCATCACATATTATGCATATTTATATTAAATAATTATATTCAATCATTTATTTTATTTAATGACGATATGATTAAATCAAATTTAATTTTGATTAAACAATATACAACTGTATTTGACTTTGGATCATAGCATGCTCAAATCCAATGAAATTAATTGTATTTAAAATTTATGTTGTAATAGCTTGATGCTTCGCAGAAAAGAACCCAACAACCCAAAGCAGAAACATGGATGCCAAACTTCAGAATGCATGTTCGCTTTGGGGTTTATAATTAAAATAAAGCTACATCTCAAAATCATACATTACTGGTTGACCCATGAGTATAGCATTCAAAAAGAATAAAAATAAGGATCTGTAAAACTGAATTCCACTCAAAAATCAATTTGTAGGAAATCATAATGTGTATGGAAGAGTTAAGTTAGACTTCTACTTAAGATTTAGACTTCTAGAAAATATTTAGTGTGACCAAATTCTAACAAAAAAAAAGAAGAAAAAGATGCCTTTGTCAAACACGGTTGAGGACAGGCGCTGCAACAATGACGGCTAAGAGATTCAATCGGAAATGAGAGGATTTTGACCGTTGTTTGGCTCTGCAAGAGGTAAAGGGATCCTGCCTTCATGCGAATCAAAAACAGAAATGGCTTCGCTTTTGGATGGAAGGCGCACGAAGAAGAAATGACGAAAAAAAAGAAAAAAATGCCAAAGGTATTACACGTCGAGAGAGATTGCCGAGGAAGGAGGGAGGAGCGGCTAGGCCACAGGAGATGCTAACAAGGCGAAGGGAGATGCGAACAAGGGCATAAAGAGCACAGAAGTATATTAATACTAACGAAACGCGGACCACAAGGATTCTCCTGCAGTCTGCGTGTTTCACAAGTAAAAACAGTTGTTTTTCGATAAGCTGACTAAACGCACGAAACAAACGGTATGACGGTATTTTCAAAATGTTGTCCGCACTTATAAACTGCCCCAAACGGGCCCCAAGTCACTGAGACATACTTTATGAATTCAAAAGTCTCATTTTAATCTAAGACGCACTCATTGCTTAGTGTGAATTAGTTTCTCTTCTACCATATTCACAATTGCATCAATATTCACAAAATTTTCCTCATCATCATACATCTCAACCATCTACCTCTTCCATCTTAAGTGATGCATCATTGATAGCATGCCGCAACTAGGGTTGTAAACGAATCAAGCCTGGGTGAGCTCAGGCTTGGCTCTGTTTGGCTCATTTGAAATTGACTCGCGTTTGAAACGAATCGTGAACAGTGTGTTCGTGTTCGGCTCGAAAAACTTATTCATGTTTGTGTTTGGCTCGTGTTCAACTCGAAATTGGCTCGTTAGAATATAAAATTATTATACTAATTATTTTTTAAAATAAAATTAAAATAATAATTTTTCTAAAAAACTATTTGTATAAACATTAACGAGCCGAACAAGAGTTGTTCGCGAACAACGAGCCAAATTCGCTGCCCTAGCGACGACTAGTGCAAGCGGTGTCAAGTCCTGTGCAAACATGTGACAAGCCAATATGGTGTGTAAGATTCTTGATTTTGTTTAATGTTTAGGAGCAAATAAATAATAAAATAAGAGTTAATTTCAATATTAAAATTTTAAATTAAAAATTTTTAATTTTCTAAACAATAATTTTTTAAGCTTGCACTTCTTAAAAATTGTACAAAGGCCATCTATTATTATGTAATTTTAAACAGTGCTTTTAAATTCTAAGTGCACCACTTAATGCATAATTCTAAACAATGTTATATACAATTAATATTTACTATATTTATTCTAATCATTATTTTCATCAACTACTATGTCTTCTCATTCACAGTCTAGTCATTTTATGTAATAAATTTAATCTTAATTTTAAACCTACTCAGCCGTTGCCTAATTTGAATTGCGCAATCAAGGGAGACTCTTGTTAAAATGTGCAGAACACGAGCTCCTATATTTCTCACGTTCAAGTTTGATTTTAAAGTTATTTTAAATTCATAAAAATCTAGGATACTCAACTCAAAATCAAACTCACATCATACGTAGCGCCATATATATCACCTAATGATACTCTTAAGCAAAGAGAATAAAGCACCTCGCAACTTCTCCTTATGCTTCAAAGCCAACAAGGACAAAAATTCGTTCAAGAGAAAGAAGTCTGTGGAGAGCATAAGATAAAACAACAATAGCGATGCGTCTCTCCCAATCTAGAAGAAGTTGGTTGAAAGCAATTGGTTACTCTTCAAACCGACTAGAAAAATATAAGCTCTTGGTTTACAATGATTTTGACAAATGAGAAGTAACTAGAGAACAATGCATGGATGGTGGGAGCCAAAGCATGAGGCGGCCAATGACTTTTTCTTGAGATTCGGCCATGCTCACGTGTAAAGACTTGCAACTAAAATAATGAAGAAAAGCTAAGAAGCTCTAGTATAGTGTAGTTATAGAGAAGTGGAAGAAAATATATCAAGCACGTGAATGTACGCGCACATTCCTTCTTGATTTTTGTGGTTTTGAACTTTGAGTTGTTGATTTGATATTCATTAGAAAATAAAATAAAATAATTAAAAAAAAAGAAGCAAGAAGGAGGGAGAGAGAGAGAGAGAGGAATCATGTTTGATAATAAAGTTTTTTAAATTCATAGATATCTTGAAAAAGATTTGTACCAAGCATGCTTTTGATTTTTATATATAATGGCTACTAAACTAAATACCAAATTTATGCTTTATTTGCTTCAAACCTCCACCTAAAGATGCTTTATAAACGGAGATGAAATTAATAAAGATGAACCTCTCAACTTCCAGTAATAGATGCCATCAAGGGCAACAATAAGCTAAGTTCAAAAGGAAGAGGCAAAGGGAGAGCTGGCGAGATCATCAGTTGAAAGCTTAAGGTCAAGTGCACAAATGCGTAAATCATTCAGTTAAAAAGTGGTCAACAATTAGGAGATCATTGTTGATGTTGACTGAGAGTGCTTCAAGCTCTAAGTAGTTGACGATATTGACTAACAAAGGATAGACTCAGGAGGAGTTCTAAGTTAATACAAAATAGATACAATCGAAATTGGACTTCGCAACCGCATGTGTTGCTTTGTCAACATTAAAAAAAAGGTATCTTTACTTACAAACCACTCAGTTCCTATATATTTACACATCTAACACCTAAATTTCATTTTTTACATGCATACTATTTTACCTATGCATAAAAAAAGATATATTTCACCTTTTTTAAGTTAAAATAGTGGTATTTTTTAAGTACTATGAAAGATTTGGGTGGTGGTTATAAATGTAAAAAACAACGTTTAGATGTTAGATATATAAATACATATGAATTAGGTACTATGCAGGTAAATGCCCCTACAAACTATTTCAGGCAATAAAGCAAGCTGAAATGTTTGACCGGGTCAATATGTCTAAGGGAGACTTTGTCCTATTGAATGCAAGACCAAATAGTCGGTCACAAGCAATTATTGCTTTCAAAATTAACAAAAACATGTAGGTCGAGTTATTTAAAGTGAACAATTCTTGATCAGAATATCTATAAAAAAATATTAACTGAAAAAAAAGACAATTTCTCCGCTATTGGCATACCAAAAATTTGCTACAAAATCTGTTATAAATCCACAATATTAGAAAGTAGGGTCATTTGCACGCTATTCTTAAGTATTTACACATTTAACACCTAAACATCAAAACTTTTAATGCATAAGATTACGCACCAAGGTGTTATAAGTGCAAATATTGAAACTTTGGGTGTTAGATATATAAATATATAAGAGTTGTATGGTATGTGTGTACATTTTCCTAAAAAGTATGGTGAAAGCATAAACTGTTCAGCATGTAATAAAAAAAGGAAAAAATAAATAAAAATTTCTCAAACAACAAAGAAACATTCCTGCCAACATTTGAAAGTTTTGATTAAAATAGTATTAAGAATTCAACTGAATAGGCCCCACTATGTCACATGCACAGTTTTATAAGCAAAAATGGAGGGTATGGTCTTCAATAGCAAAAACTACAAGCCCTTACCCCACTAAGTGGGGTCTTACTACATGCATCCTATTTCTCCATTGTGTCCTATTAAGCGTCATATTTTCATTTAATTGTAATAAATTAAGATAATTTTCTATATATGCGGCACATAAAAAGGCATGACGTTTGAAAAATCAGAACTGTAAAGAATTGTATAAACAATAAACTTTACTATTTACACACATACCAAACAATTCTTATGTGTATACATATCTAACACCTAAATTTTAATATTTACATTTATAGCACAAATTTTTAACATCACATCAAAAATACCACCTTTACCAACATTTTAAAAATCAAATGCACCTTTTTATGCAAAGGTTTGTAGCACCAAGGCCTTATGAATGTAAATATCAAACTTTAGGTATCATATATGTAAATCCATAAGAAGTGTGTGGTAAGGTTATAAATTTCCCAACCAATAAAACTACATAATTTATTGTAAGCAAGCTCCAAACATTAAAGCATTTGGGGGCAGAACATAATGAGAATCTAAAGACTATCCACAGAGTGAATGAAAGAAAAAATCTTACTTGGCTTGCGTATTCTCCAAGCAAATTAACCGAGTAGTTGGGTAGTAAAGTGAATCATTGGGAGTTCTAATTGCTGCCACTATCTTATTAATATCCATGGTGCCATCAGGATTGTTTTCTACAGTTTTAGGATGCACGCCTCCAAAGACTGAAATCCCCCCATTCTCAAAAACATGAATATGCGAATCATCACCAAGGATAACCTCACTTCCCCTTGTCTCACAATGGACGAGCACTGCTATGAGATTCCCCATGGTCCCAGAAGGTACAAAGACGGCAGCTTCTTTACCCGTAACCTTGGCCATCTCGGACTCCAATCGGAATGCTGTAGGGTCTGTTCCTAAGGCATCATCATCCACATCAGCGTTAGCCATGGCAGCTCGCATCACATCAGATGGCTTAGTAACAGTATCAGATCTAAGATCCACCGTTCTGGCCACCATTTTCATGTTCTTATGTGAAGAAACGCTGTGCTGCCTTCTTTAATTTGTCCTGAGTAAAGAACAGAGTTGAAGCTGTTTAAGCATGTTAGCTGAACAAGAGGAAGGCAAAAGAAGGTACACGAATATAAACATCTGAATTAAAAAGTTTTGTTAGTAATCAATCAAGAACCACGCACAGCTAACAATATCAGCTGTGTTCCTAGCTGCTGTACCTACCGCAAAAGAGAAAGAAACTAGTTTCATCACGGTCTATTCAACAAGAGATTCTGCCTCCAACCCCAAAAGAAAACAAAACATAAAAAAAGGAAGCTAACAGTAATGACAGAGTGCAGATGAACATTTCCAATGGTTCAGTTCTTCAATATCAGCGATAATATAGTAAAAAACGCAAGAAATCAAATTTATAAAACAGAAATGAAAGGATCGTTGGAAGAGGTACTGTTTCCACTTCAATTCGACGGTGAAAATCCCGCAGCACCGCAGTATCCGTCTCCCAAAATGGGCCTCCTCTTCTCGAATGATATATGAGGAAGGAATTCGGGTTTACTTTCCTCTCTTATATAAACCCTAACATGAAGCAAATTGGAGCACGTGTTCGCCCGCCATCCACCAGATGCTCCCCACCCATACGCTCTCCAGCCAGCGAAACCTCCCAAATCCACAGTGAAAGTAGAAAATAAGCACCAAGGAAGACGACGAACTTAATTCATTTTTAAATTAAAATTTGCAGACGGAATGTGATCGGACGCTACGACCTGTTTGGATCCACAATGGGTGTCGGAAGCCTGATGGATCTACTAAGCCGGGATGGGCTTATCAATGCTTATCATCTTCTCCAGCTCAGGCCGACCGAATGCTTCAGAGCTTTCGAGTTCCTTATCCATTATCCACCATCCATCATCCATGGCAGAAATCGAATTTTCTTATAGAAACAAGTAGGGCTGTTAAAAAAGCTTGTTGTTTGCGAAAAGTACGTATTCGATTCGTCAATGAGTTCGTGTTCGATTCGTTCAATAAGTAAATGAGACAAACGCGAACAAATTTTTTTCGTTCGGTTAGTTAAACGAACCAAACACGAACAGTGATGCGTTCGTTCGTGTTCTAATCGTTATTGTTTGAAATATAAAATAATATAAAATAATTATATATATATAATTTATTATATTTTAAAACATTAAATTTTATAAATTATAATATATAATAAAATAATAATAATAATATATTAATATACTATAGTAGTAATATACTAATATAGATATTGTATATTTATATAATATAAGTTATATAATTAATATATAATATTATTTTTATATATTAATATTAGGGATGTCAAACTGGCTCGTCGTTCGCGAACAGCTCGCGTTCGGTTCGTGTTCGACTCGTTCGTTAAGAAACGAACACGAGCTTATTTCAAACAAACTAAATTTTAAACGAACCGAACACGAACACAAGCTTTGTTCGTTCGTGTTCGGTTCGTTTACACCCCTAGAAACAAGGGGATTTATTTATGTATCTACTGCTTAGATTTTATTATTTATTTATTTAACAACACAACTTCTATATATTTATATACAAAAATACACACGCACATTACACTACACAAAATTTATACACATATAACAATAACTATATCATTTATAACTAATATCATTACATTTTCAAATTATATTAATATATTTATGGTAGATTTTATTTCTTATCTCTAATGAATTTTCTGAGTAATTAATCTCGTATTAGTTCTACTTAAATTCTTATTTTAATACTTTTATCTTATTTTTCCGATATTGATTATTTGTTTTATAAATTCATGTGTTACATCTCATTATTATAAATTCATAATCAGCCATAAATATTGGTTTATTATAATGCATAATTGGCAAGTCCTCAGATAAATTATTGGATTTACATGAGATTGGTGATTACATTTCCTTATATATTAGCAAGCAGTGATAAAATATTAATAAGTTCTATATGTATAAATACACATGATATTGTTGAATATGAATATTTATTTGGAAGTGCATGATTTAAGCTATTCAGATTCATGGTTATAAACATTTGATACTCTTTTTACAAATTATATTATACATAAACCATCCTATGAGCGAGTTTCAGTTATCACTCGTGCATAATCTTTTATTTTTTTTATAAAATACCCCTTCACCATAAAATTAAATTATCAAGTTAGTTTAAAAAAGGCTTATAATATGCCAAACAAAAATATAAATTTCCAAATAATTTTTTTTTTTAATTTATATGAAATTCTCCTACACTATAAAATTAATAAAACATTCTTCTCATCTTCTTTTATAAAATTATCTTATAAGGATAAAGATATTACACATAAAATAATATAAATTAGAATATTATGGATAAGTTTTCAAGTCACGTGCACTTCAGCCATTATCAATTTGCATAATGACAAAACTAAATTTGGATTTTTTTATGAAGTGTTGTTTAAAGATAAGGGATGGATAAATACCACACCATTGTAATATATTATGTATCTAACATTTGACATTTACATGTACAATATTAAAACTCGTGCATAAAAATATATTCTTTTATTTTTTAAAAGATAAAAATAATAATATTTTAATGTAATACTACTAATTTAAATGTTATATATGTAAATACTAAAAGTTAAGTATTAAATATGTAAACATATAAATGTTGATATATACTTTTTATAGCCACTGAATTGCAAATATTTCTATGCATGAAAAGGTACAATTCAATTGTTTAAAATTATAATAATGATATTTTTTGAAATAATATGAAAGATAGAAATGGTATAAATGTAAGAAATGAAATTTAGAAATTAAATATGTGATTACATAAGAACCCAGAGTATTTAACGAGAAATTATTGCATACAGACACCGCATGCGGTGTTTGATCCTAACCGTAGATCACGGTGATCTACGGTCAGGATTATTTCAATTTTTTTTTAAAAAAAATTAGGCGGGGCCCACCGAAATACATTATGACCGTAAATCACCTGATATACGGTCAGGATCGGACACCGCACGCAAGATGCATGCGGTGTCCGATCTGTATGGAATAATTTTTCGTATTTAACACCTAAATTTTAATTTTTGCATATAAACCACCTTACCTATGCATGGAGAAGGTGCATTCCACAATTTAAAAGAGTAAAATTTAGGAGTTAAATATATAAATACATAGGAATGGGTTGGTATGCACCCCAAAGCATCAAATCAAACAGCATATAGCCTCACAACCTGAGCGATTTTCGCGCGGCAAACCGGGCACTCCCCTCTCTTCTCCTTTATCTCCTTCAAACACGACATGCATCCGGCCATGTGACCGCAAGGAATGCAAGCACCTTCGACTGGTTTATCTAGGCAGATCACACATGTGGAAGACGAAGCACTGTTTCCGCTGTCTTCCTTAGTTTCAGTACTGCTTAACGCACTCCGTTTGATCGGCGGGACACTAAAATCAACTGGGCTGGAATCTATCGACGGATATTGAATGGGACTGCCATAAAAAGCTTCGTCGGAGATCGGCGGAGCCGAAGGAGCTGTTAAGGTCAGGCTTTCAGGTTGGGCTGTGTGGAGCTGTGGAGGGCTGTTTGGTCTGACTTTAGTGGGAGTATTTTCGTTATGAGTTGGCTGATTGGACGATCCGCTCGCGCCAACATTTATGCTCGGTTGGACCGACGGACCCCAACCGTTATGAGTAGGGTTTGTGGAGGAGCTTCCCCACTCATTTGCAGCATTGATCAAATTTTGTTGGGAGTGAGGAAGCGAGACACCCTCTACTAAAGCGGTTTGGATGGAAGCATTGATGGCCATGGCCAGTTCGACATCTTCGGGGTTCGGTGTGCTAGTTGTCGAGAACGGTGGAGCAGCTGGTGGTGGTGCTGGAACAATATTGGTATGCTGCAGGAGAGAGAACTGATGTCATTATGTGAAGACTTGGTAAGCATTATAGTGAAATATACATAAATAGCACAATTCTTATGTATTTACATGTCTCACACTAAAACTTTCATATTTGCAGACATAGCACATGCTTTAAACATATGCTTGACAAGGTGTATTTTATTTTTAAAAATGATAATAATGATATTTTCTTATGTGATACCAAAAATTTGAGTGCCATGTACTTAAAAGCACCAAAAAAGGAAGATTTACATGCGTTGCACTCAATTCTTATTTATTTACAAAACATCTAAACTTTGATTTTTGCACATACACATACATACATACATACATACATATATATATATATATATACACATACATACATATATACATACATACATACATACATACATACATACATACATATATATATACATATATATATATATATATATATAAGACATTTCACCCTATAAATATATCAATTACAAACCTACCCTTCTTTAATAAGCTTAAGTGAATTATATCCCCTTAATTTTGAGAATAAGCAATATCATAGGATTAAATCCTACTTTAACGCAAACTACATGATATGAATTAAATTTAAATATTTATTTTGATTCATAATTATATTAACTCTGAGTCCATTGCAATTAAATTTCATTCGTACATGTGTATAATTTCATTTGTCATAAGCACAATTTGTTTTTATCATTCTATTTAAATTGAAGAGGAGAAAAAGGATTCATGTAGCCGACCCCACTTAGTATTTAGATTACAAATTCTGTTATTTTCTTCTTTGCATATGTACCATAAGTATTTTATTTCATTGCACATGAATAGTTTTTGTCATTTTATAACGATCATGCAATTTTGCAAAGGAAGGAAAGCTCAAATACAACAATAGAATGGATGAATAAGAAATTCATAGAGCAATTCAACACGAATCTGATATAAAAGGAGAACCAAATAGGTGATACAAACCAAATATTACGAAGCACTGGCAAATCACGCATATATAAGTGTCGTCCAAGTAAAAAAAAAACTAGAGACTGCATATAAATCCTAAGAGAAACGAACTTCAAAAGTTCGAAAGAGTTATAATCTATTGTTTTCGAGTCTAGCTTGAAAGTTCTGAATTGGATAATTTTAAAGTTTAAATCCTAATACTTGCAAAAAATAAATCTTAAAACTAATTTTGAGGTTGAACTAGAATGGATGAATATGACATTGATAGAGAAAGTCGACATGAATCTGATATAAAATGAGAAAAGAGGTGCGGAGAAAAACAAAAAGGAACTTAGACAAATAAATGACTCAAAGGAGGGAGATATAATCTTTAACACTAGTTTATTGCAAGATACTAAGCAATATTTATAGAACAGAACTATAAAAATAAGATCCAATAAATATAAAATTATTTAAATTTAAACATAAAGTGATTCAAAAAAATAATTCACACAATAATGAATCTAAAATCCTTTCAAAATAAAATAACTATAAAATCCTAAATAATAAAATACATTATTTCTTGTGCAACAACAATTAAATCACTCAAAAGAGAGAGGCATAATCTTTAAATCTAATTTATTGCAAGGCACTAAGCAATATTTATAGAAAAAAAATTGTAAAAATAAGATCCAATCAAAATCTAAAATTATTTAAATATAAACATAAAGTGATTCAAAAAAATAATACATACAATAACGGATCTAAAATCCTTTCAAAATAAAATAACTATAAAATTCTACATAACAAAATACATTATTTCTTGTGCAACAACAATTAAATGACTCAAAGGAGGGAGGCTTAATCTTTAACTCTAATTTATTGCAAGGCACTAAGCAATATTTAGAGAAAAAGATTATAAATATAAGATCCAATCAAAATCTAAAATTATTTAAATTTAAACATAAAGTGATTAAAAAAAATACATACAATAATAAATCTAAAATCCTTTCAAAATAAAATAAATATAAAATCCTATATAATAAAATACATTATTTCTTGCGCAACAACAATTCCCTTGATACGCAAAGAAATATATATATATATATGTAATTTTCTTTTTGAAAAGAATGGTCGGAGAATTTGATAAGAGCCCTCAGTCACCCTCATGTGTCTAACCACTCAATCCCGTGATGCAAGGCAGATGCACTCAGGTGCGCTCAAACCCGTGACCCCATGGAACTTAGAACTGACATCGTAGATGCCAACCAAAGAGTCACAGCAAGCGGTATATATATATAT